CCTAAAAAGGACTGTTCATATGGTATATTAAACTCAAGATTTTCACAGTTAGCAGTTCACTTTTACGGAAAAAAAAGTAAAAAACAGCCCAGTTTTGACCATGTCTAAAAAATGCGAGAAATTATACCTTCGGTTTTGCTGGAAAGCCGTACTGCCTCGAAACAATCTCAAGCTTTGCTTTTCAAAAATAAACTGCCCGTGTGAATTCACTCTTGAACCATTCTCACAACTTGTCAACTGCGCGTCCTAAAGTCTTCGCAAACCTTAAACTAAAACATTGAAAGACATTCAGCGCTGAAAAATAGTAAGATGAAAAATGTAGATTGACAAATAGAGAAACAAGTCAATACACAGGTAAAGTTGCACTTTGAGAAATCAAATTATAAAAAATAAATGTTTTCCCAAAAAAGCCATTTAACGGTACAGGGTTCAGTTGTCTCGTCAATTCCACGTGCAACTACCGTGACTGCGGCCATGTATTCTTTCTTTCTTCTAGAATCTAATATCTTCTCTGGAAGAAAATTACTGATTTCAAGGTAGAAATAAAGTTAAATTGATACACAGCACTTGAAGGCTTTCAACGCGAAACAGAGTAAAAGAAGCACTTTTTCCCGATTTTTTCGCTCACCGTTTTCCGAGCTGACTCAACTAACCGAACGCCTGGAAGAGGCTGAGGGATGAGTTGTCTCCTCTAGCCCAGGCATTCAATCAGTTGACATGGAAAGGCATGTGACGGGGATAAACGTACTCAATATATTCATTTAAAGCTGGTAATAAATGGTAAAAGGGAACTGCTAACTTTGAAAATCTTGAGTTTAATATACCATATGAACAGTCCACTTCAGGCGGCGTGAATTTGTTAATAACTATTATTTTTATTTCTTAAATTTTTATTTCTAATTTATCTATGTATTTAATTATTCTTTTAATTTGTTTTTTAATTTTTTTTTAGACTCCGCACTCCGCACTCCGCACTCAACGTTTTCGGAACAGCCCTGTAAGCCCATACATCCAGTTGAATAATTCAATTTCTTCGTGTAGACCTCGTGGCCTCGATCAGCCGGACGGGTGTTACAAAGGTCGTAAGCGGGAGTGGGAAATTTTTCCTACCATTAAAAGTAAGGAGTGTTTTCTGTATCACTCATTCACTGAAAACATACGCGCCGTCACAAAAGGCCTAACTCGAACTTATCAATGGAGGGTTTGTTATGGAAGGGCTGGTTTTGCTGACTCAGATAAAGTTTGCGTAAAACATTTGCATAAAGCATATGTGGTCGATAATCTTGTTTTTTGCCGTGCATGTGGTTGCTCTTTCGGCCGAGGTCGAAAAAAACATGAACAAATTCAATCTACTTTTTGTGTCGACTGCCACATTAATGTCCTTTTCTTTAATTTTAGAAGTTCCCAAACAAGTAAATCTTGTCATAGTTTTAACGGTATTTTCCCAAAACAATTACGTGTTTAATTGTCACTATGGATTAGACTTTCCCAGGCGCGTAGCGTGGTCATTGTTTCAAGTACGCACAAGTACATATGATCTAGAAACCTAAGTAAACTGAGCGAAAAATACTGCGTTCTTTATTTCTTGTTTGAAATAGTTGTGTGAATACAAGCAAAGATCAAAGCGTCTTGCCCTCATTTTAAGCAAACTTGGTGCAAACACAAAATTGTTTTCAAATTTTTCTGGTCACTTCAAGTACGCACGTGCGTAAATGCTATTCCAGAGAAAGAGCAATCCTTTTTCTTTAAATATATGACATAAAATTCTGGGGCAATTCAAACGGCAAGTTTTGAGAACTGAAAACATCAAAGGCACCGCCTTGCGTGAAATTTACAACTTTTGAACTTGCGGTTGCAATGACGATTTCAAGCAGTACGCGAGTGAACTTGGACAGCAGTTTAAATACTTCGAGAATTCGATCCTTTTCTACCAGTTAAAAAACTAAACAAACGATTATGACTTCGTAATAGCAATTATCTGAAAGGAAAAGCACGTTTATTGTGCGAAATTGAGCTGTAAACCTCTTGACATCCTTCCCGTACCTGCGCATTTGTTTACTTTGAAGCATGGCTTGTACTATTTATCTAAACACGAAAAGTATTAATCAAAATGTTCGTATTATGTCGGAAATAAATCGTTAAAGTAATGATGGAAGAATAGGACAAACATTTACTCACCTCTTA